ATCTCTAGGCATGTCCTTCAGTCAGGTCCGATGGGGTGCCACGTTCTGGCACCAGGGTCTGTCCTTTGTACTCCCTCAGGAGCTCCCTGCTCTGCTCCCGGTTGCACTGCTGCACGCCTTTAGTGGTTTGCTTTGGTGTCACGGGGTCAGTCCTGGCCACTCCTGACACTGAGTCTCCAATGTTGTCCCCCTTAGGGCCCTGGGCCAGCAAGGGACCGTGTGTCTCGTAGTGGGCTCAGCCATATGGTCCACTCTGTGTATTGGCTCTTCTGAGCGGGTATATAGTCCTCCAGGCCTGGTGGCTCAGGATGTACTCTACTCACTCTTCCTCCCCCTTCATTTGCTCCCATGTGCTCTGATCAGACATGCCCCTCTCCCCTAGCTGCAGCTTCAGTGCCCTCCTCTAAATTCTTCTGGGGGGAGGGTGGTTCCCCATTTTTACCTTCCTCTCCCCACCTTTTTGCTAGTCCAATTTATTTTCCTGAGGAGTTTACCTGACCTGGGTTTCGTGTGTCTTGAGTGCTTATCTGTACCAGTGAACATACTCCGGTCCAGCCAGAACTGGAAGGCAGGAGTGAGGTCATGATAGTGGGGAGTGAGGAAACCTCAAAGAACCAGAGGAACCCAAGAACTGAAACAACAAAATGTGTCAAAATCTCTTCCTTTTAAGTAATGCCTTTCCTTTTTGTTTTACTTTGTGAACCTCAATTTAAACCATTGGGTCAGTTGCCGGAAACCTTGATAATGGAGAAAAACTATCCACTGAAAATACAATACTAGGGTTCATGAAAAATGATACCATGGTAGGAGAAAGCTGTGAATCACATGTCATTGAAGATCAGAATAACATTCGGAACACATATGAGAGGTAAGTGTCATTTATTGCTTTAGGTGAGAATCTGAAGATTATATCATGGCACTAAAGTATTTATATCCAAAGATCCATCAAAAAGTGGAAAATTAAAATGAAGAAAATAAAAATGTCCGTGGCTTTTAAAAAACTCCTGCACATGCAGTTGTATGTACTCAGTACTGCTGAGTTTCTCTTGCTTCATAGTAGTGCTACTGCTTGGGTGTGAAACACCACAGTCTGTAGGATTTTATTTACCACAACCTTTTCTGCACATTCAGGTATCATTTCATAAATGTGTTTTCAATATTGAATATTGAAAATATTTTTCAATTTTTATAATTATGAAGTGAATTTAATGGTAGCATCTCTGCCAAGTAATTTAATCTTTGAAACACTAAGCAATTCATGGTGTAAAAATTATGTCTACTATGCATTGTAGGGGTGAATTAGTAACACAGATCTGTTTGCTGCCTATGTTTAACAGAGGACACGTAGAGGAGAATGTCTTTGAAAATAATGATGACAATCAGTGTGGACAGACCCTCAACTGGATTCCAGATCTTTCTGTACTCAAAAAAACTCTTATGGAAGCGTATCCTTCAGTATGCCTGCGGTGTGGAAAATCCTCCATGAATCATTCATTACTTAGGCGTCATATCAGTTCATACTCTGAATGCAATGCCTACCAGTACACAGATTTCAGAGGAGTCTGCAGTTGTCCTCCTTACCCCAGGACTCCTGTGAGGACTCTTACTGGGGAGAAAGCCTATGAATGTAAGGAATGTGGCAAAACCTTTCGCCATTCTTCAAACCTCACGACACATATGAGGATTCACAGTGGAGAGAGACCTTATGAGTGTAAGGAATGTGGGAAAACCTTTGGTTGGTCCTCAAACTTGACCAAACATATGAGTACTCACACTGGAGAGAAGCCTTATGAATGTAAGCAGTGTGGGAAAGCTTTTAGTCACTCCTCACAGCTTACGATACATTTAAGAAGTCACAGTGGAGAGAGGCCACATGAATGTAAGGAATGTGGGAAAACCTTCAATTGGCCATCAGAGCTCAGTACACATATCAGAATTCACAGTGGGGAGAGGCCTTATGAATGTAGGGAATGTGGGAAAGCCTTCACTTGGCCTTCAAGCTTAAATAAACATATGAGTATTCACACTGGAGAGAGGCCTTATGAATGTAAGGAATGTGGGAAAGCCTTCAGTCGCTCCTCAGAGCTCACTTTACATATAAGAAGTCACAGTGGAGAGAGGCCTTATGAATGTAAGGAATGTGGGAAAACTTTTAATAGGCCATCACACCTCACTACACATATCAGAATTCACAGTGGAGAGAGGCCTTATGAATGTAGGGAATGTGGCAAAGCCTTTTCTCATTCTTCAATCCTCACAAGACATATGAGGATTCACAGTGGAGAGAAGCCTTATGAATGTAATGAATGTGGCAAAGCCTTTACTCACGCCTCAACCCTCAATCAACATAGGAGAATTCACAGCGGGGAGAGGCCTTATGTGTGTAAGGAATGTGGCAAAGCCTTTACTCATTCCACAACCCTCACTCAACATAGGAGAATACACAGTGGAGAGAGGCCTTATGAATGTAAGCTGTGTGGGAAAACCTTCAGTTGGCCATCACACCTCACTACACATATGAGAAGTCACAGTGGAGCAAGGCCATATGAATGTAGGGCATGTGGCAAAGCCTTTTCTCATTCTTCTTCTCTCATTAAACATATGAGAATTCACAGTGGAGATAAGCCTTTAGAATATAAGGAATGTAGCAAAATCTTTCCTTGGTCCTCACTCTTTACTAAACATATGCAAACTCACCATGAAGAGGAGCCTTAAGTAAGGATTGTTTGACACAAAGGGTTAATATTGCAAATAGAAGATTCCTGAAAATGATAACTGGACAAAGTATTTCAGTTGAGTATGAAAGCAACAGAAATGCAACAAGGGGTTGTATTAGAGTTACAACAGTATCATGGCAATTGTGCAGCAGTCATTATTATTATCATTTATTCATCCAACTTCATAAACAGTTGTGCAGGGATACACTCTCGATCCACCCTAAATTTTACCATCTTAAGGATTTTTGAGTCTTACAAGTAAGGCTGCCATGAGCATATAGGGGCTCGTATTTTTCAATTTTGTATTGGTAATTTGCATGCAATAAAATGCACCAATCTTATATTTGGGTTGAGGTTTTATTATTTTGTGATGTTTTCACATTTTAGGTGTTTTCTTTCGGTTTTTCTACTTAAATATTTTACCCTGTGTAATTAATAAGTTTTCATGGGGAGATAATTTTGAGATTTTGCAAATAACCTGCTTATTGATCTCTTTCCCTCCTCCACCCCTCCATTATACCTACTTTATTTATTTATTTTGGTCTTTAATATTTTTTAAATTTTGTATTGTGAATTAGGCAAAGGTTTACAGAGCAGATAATCGTTTTGAGATTAAATAGCTCATCATACCTTCCAATGTCTCATCCTGTTTCTATCATGTTTTCCCATCTCGTTGAATATTGTATTTCCCTTTACCAAGAGTACACCTGTCTACTCTATTCTCTGACTTTCCCGCCCACCAGTAAACCATCGTAGTCTGTTTCTTGTAGGAAAGCCTTTTCTTGACTCTTTATAATCATAGTTTCATAAATGATTTGTTCTTTTGTGCCTGGTTAATTTTTTTTCTTTTAATTTTAACAAGTCTTATTGACATATTTTACACATTCTATACAATTCAGTAATTTAAGCAAATTAAGAAGGATTGTGCAATCATCACTAAAATAAATTTTAAAATACTTCATTCTTGTACTCAATATTATTAGTACCCTATTTCCGCCCAAACTCCCCTGCCATAACCCTAAGAAACTGTTAATCCAGTTACTATCTCCATGGATTTGCCTGTTCTAGATTTCATAAAAAGAAAAAGGTTTTTCACAAAAACCTAACAACAATAACAAAACACAAAAAACCAGTGGAATAGCGGAAAATGATAAAAACCAGAAGAAATTTAAAATCAGAAGAGAGAACAAGTTGATCAGTTGATAAGTTTTATCCTAACTACATTTTTATTAACCTACTTTCCAATGTACTGTGTCTCCTAACATCTTACTTTTCTTAAATTATAGATCCATTGATAATCATTACCTGAAATTATTACTCTGGTTTTAAGAATGCTGATTTCTTATTTCAAGCATTCATTCTCTATTTATTGTAATTCTAGGGTAAGAGATAATTCAAAGCTGTGCATAGGTTTTCAATTTGCTGCTTCCTCTGAAGTGAGGAGCTAAGATTCATATAAACTTTTGGGAAATTAAAAGAAGTCCACAGAAACCAAAATACAACCTTGAATCTTTCCCACCTGAGTTTTGAGATCATCTCAAGAACAGATTTGACATACCGAACACTAATGATGTGGCTTGATGAGCTATGGGAAGACATTAGGACCATCATTCATGTAGAAAGTACTAGGTCATTAAAATGACACGAGAGAAAGAAAAGAGCATGGATGTCAGAAGACTCTGAAACTTGGTCTTCATTGTAGAGTAATTAAGGTAAGTGGAAGAAAGGATGATATCAATGAGCAGAATAGAAAACTTCAAAGGGCAGCTCGAGAAGTCAAAGCCAACTATAATGAAATGTGTAAAGACCTAGCATTAAGAAACCAAAAGGGGAACTCTGCACTGAAAACACTTGTGTTAGGCCGAGTTCTCTGGAGAAACAAAACCAGGACTCTTATGCTTATGTGTATATAAATGTACAGCGAGAATGAATATAACAGCTAATTGGTCCACACAGTGATACAGAGGGTTCACTTTAACTCCCTTTCATGGAGCAGTTAATATACTGAAGGTCCTTCAACCCACAGGTCCAAAGTCAAAGAAGCAAACAGCAGAGTCTTCCTCAGGCAACACAGTTAGTCTGGCAGTAGACAGCAGGGTGAGGCAGCCACAGTCAGTAGCGCTGGGAGCTTAGCAAAGCAGGCCCTGATGGGATCTTGAACTCAAGCAGTGTTTTCATGGCGACAGGACCCACCAGAGGTAATGGGTTTTATAGGGTACTTGGCTACTTTGCATAAATGTCCAAGCATGTTCTAGTTCTTTGACCATTTTCTGCACGTCGTTAGGTGGCAGTGAGTCAGGTCAGACCCACAGCCACCTGTGCAGAACGGAACACTGCATCCCCACGGTTGTTTCTGTGGCCGAGCCCATTGTTGCAGCCACAGTGTCTGTCCATCTCCTCGAGACCTTTCCTCTTTTCCTCTGCCCCTCCACTGAACCAATAAGATGCCCTCCTCCAGGGACTGATCTCTCCTGACAATATGTCCACAGTATGTAAGATGAAGTCTTGTATCCTTACCTCTAATATGGCCATACTTCTTCCAAGACGGGTCGATTTGTCCTTTGAGCAGGCCATGGTACCTTGAATATTGTTCTTCAGCACTACAATCCAAATGCATTGATTCGTCTTTGGTCTTCATTGACTGATGTCTAACTTTCACACGCATAATCTCCTTAAACCAGCCGTTTTCAACCTGTGGGTCGCGACCCCTTTGGGGGGGAGTGTCAAACGACCCTTTCACAGGGGTCACCCCGATTCATAACAGTAGCAAAATTACAGTTATGAAGTGGCAACGAAAGTAATTTTATGGTGGTGGTGGTGGGGTCATCACCACATGAACTGTATTCAAGCATTGAGGAATTAGGGAGGTTGAGAACCACTGCCTTCAACCATACTCTTCCTGTGGGTAAAGCAACTCTTATCAGCTTGCCCTGGGATCTCAGAACAGCCACTTCGTTGAATTCAAATCATTCTATAAGCAATGGAAACGTCACAGTGGCATCCAAACATATCACCACTCATAGAATTATGGCTTCTTCCCACTGTGGACCACAGCCTTTCCCCAACCAAAAGATTCAGAATTTAAGCTCAAACAATGAGAAACTTTGTTTAGTGTTAGGAGCACCGCCACAATACACATCATAACGACAGATCAGGAGTATGTACTGCTGCGCAACTTGTCTCTGTGCCAAGATGACCTTGGGAACAATTGTAAAAGTCACTCAATGCAGGCTTCA